AGGCGTGGCCTGCAAGTACAGCAGGAAGCCTTCCCTTGTTATCTTGCTGGGTCTCAGCTCCGGCTGCCTCTGGTTCAACCGATGAATTCCCCTTTGGCTGCCTGGTAACACTGTTCTCAATTGGGCTTTCTAATTGCAGGGTCTCTTCTTTGCAGGCTTCTTGAGCAATCACGTCCTTGCTAACTTTTGTTATTTCAGGTGACAAAGCTCGAATGGCAGATTCAGTTGAAACCACCGGTGATGCTCTCGCATAGAAAATTTGATCAACTTGAGCACTGGATATCGTCCTTGTAACATCAAACAACTCAAATTCTTTGCGGGCTTGGAAGTTCCCTCCAATACCTACAAGAAATCAAAATTGAGCGTCAAGAAGCATCCAAGAGGAATGCTATAGACTTAAACGCTTAACACGACCTGCAATGCAATATGCGACACCAAGAAGACTTTTACATATATCTGAAGTGCTGACCTAAATCTGACATAGATGAGTAGATTGAAAGGTACTTGGTTAATAGGTCACCACTTGAGCGAACAAGTGCTGGTAAGCTTGCAGCAAATTTACCAAGTGATAGATCGATCCCTCCACCAATCTTTTATAAATTTACAGCGACAATGGACCAACGAACTTCCATAGAGAAATTGTTTTACATATTTATGCAAATTGTAGCATACCTGAGCACTGAAGGTTTTCAGAAAGAGGACATGATGTCTTCGACCCTACAGTCTGATAAGGGGAAGTATTACCCACGCAAGGTTCAGAGAATTCTTTAAGATGACTAATCCGAAGTGGTGAAGGCATCTGACACTGTAGTCCACCATTGATGGAGGAATCTGGGTCATGGACATTTCCTGGTTCCCCAACTAGATCAACTACATATTCCCTGTTGAGAGATGGTGTTCAACTATAAAGTCCAAATGTGAAACACAAGTTTGATAGAATGAAGAGCGGCAATTACAAAAGAATGCATTATTCGTATGCCAAGAAGCAGACCGCCCAGATTTATGCAAAACAGAAAGAATGAACATGCTCTTTAAGTGGGAACAGACGAACAGAAGAAAAGTTGACAGCTTTCCCAACATCCAGAACACTAACTATGGTCAAGGAACTTCTGTTTTCTAGTTGTAGGTATGACCTATCCTGCTCGTATTTGAGTTTCGTTATCTAACACATAAACAATTGAATCAATAAATCGATCCGGTACAACAACAACATCGCATCATTCCCAAGGAAAATAAATAGAGAAAGCTTAAGAACAGAACAATACCCCACCTTAAAAGCTTCCTGTCATCCTCAATCTTGACAAGGCAAGAAGATCGATGGTCCTCTTCACAATACCTGCAACCTCGTGCTATTCGGCATGGTAAACCTATGTAATCCGCCAATTTCTGCAGATTCAAGGTGAGCATGTCAGTATTCAAAACCAAAGACAAGTACTTCTACAGGCTGCAATCATAATCTTCACACAATCTACCTCTCAACATTACTAAACACAATATTCCGAGCTAAAACTCGAAATTTGTGTCCCTCTTGTATTCAAAAGAACTTCCAAGATACTCATATACCCATTCGAACTGCTCTGCGTGTGCTTCTTGTGGCATAAAAACAGATGACATTTGGACAGATTATCACATTTTTTACCTTAGTTTGAGGAAATTAGACAAGGAAGAGGAATTGGGTAAATCATCTTTGATGTGGATTACCTTAAACAGTATGGCTCGGTGCCGGCAAAGACCCATAGATAAACTACCAATAGGAAGAACAATACACTTGCGAAATTCCTTGAGTCTCTTGCTAACTAGTTTCCATCTTTTTTGGAGATCACCTTTCTCTACCTGGAAGCTTCCCCTAAAACCTCGAAAATCTCAGCATGGACACGAGAAACGAAGGAATTGGTTTCCCAAAAAAGATGGCATAGAAATCAGAAGAATCAAACTGTACCCCATGTATACAGCAACAAGTTTGCCGAGTTCCTCCACGAGCACCAATGTATTCTCTGAAGCACAATACAATTCATGGGCCTTGTCCTCCAACTCTTTAAGGCGTGAATCCTCTCGTCTGTCGATCGAAACCACTTCCATGGATGTATCGCTGGGTTCGATCTCCTTCAGTAGCATAAGAGATGGAAGCCGTGTCCCTTCCTCCAGATTGTTACACATCAGCCAAAGATACGGATTCATCCCCAAAATGTTGTAAAACCCATCTGAAATCTTGTCATTGTATGATAAACAACCACTGACCTGAAAAACGAGAGAAACATCACAATTCGACCCAAATTTTACCTGCAAATTTCTCTTGCGAAAATCAAGTCCGTGGGGACTTGGGGGTACGATTGAGTACGAACCCAGAGACGGTAGGAGACAGTTTCAGCGTCGACGAAGGCATCGCCAATGGTGCTGTGTACAAGAATGGTCTCACATCCAAGACTTGCTTGAGAAGTAAGCCTCTTAGCAAGCGTGGCCTGCAAGTAATAGCTTTCTCTCGACTTCTTTGCCCGGCTTCTCTCTTTGCCATCGCTCGCCACCTCCTCTTCCTCTTCCACCTTCCTGACGGAGACGTGCGTGGTGGTTGAAGTCCCCTTCGCGTCCGTCTGACCCGAGAAATTGCCATCCACTGTAGTCCCGGAGAAGAAACTTCCGGCGAAGCTGCTCTCACTCGACAGCCGCGGCAGCGACAACTGCCGGTCAAAGCTCTGGTCGAGATTCCTCTCGTTGATGGCGATCGTTCGAGCTGAAGAAGACGACGCCGCCACCACGGCTGCGGTTACGACGGAGTCAGTCGACGGAGGAGGAACCACCGTCGCGGCAGTAACCGTCTCCGCGCACTCCGATGGAGACGCCAAGAGAAGCTCCCTCTCCTCGTCGACTACGTCCCTGGACGTAGAGTGGTGGCGCGTGGGCCTGACGCGCCCGGAAATCTGGGCCTTCTTCTCCGCCAACCACTCGTAAAAGGCAGCGAGTTGCTCCTGCTGCTTCTTTTGCGCCTTCAGATCCTCTCTCAAGAGATCCGACACGGCGGAGCTCTTCGAGAGAATAGAAGACGATAAGTCCTTCTCCTTCTCCTTCTCCTTCTGCTTGAGATCGTCGTCTCCGCCTCCATTAACGCCATTGAAGCTGACCTTGCTGTCGCTTCCGCCAGCTTGCTTCTCCTCCTCAGTACCCAACAGATGCTTATGCGACAAGGGATCGAACCCACGATCCAGAAACTGCCGAGGGAAGAAGTAAGTCGTTCGGTGAGGCATTTCTTAATCTCCGGCGACCGTCACGGGATATCTCAAAAACCCTTGAACCAGAAAACGATTATAAAAAAAAAGGAAATGATTCGAACAACTCGCAACACTGCGTTATCGTTCTGGTCCGAATCCTTCAAACCTTCAACCCAATCCCATCACCAGAAACCCAATAAATACACCAACGGATCTAAAGAACAGAGAAACAGAGAGCAGCTAGATTGCACCGTTCTCTTCAACTTCTGAATCAGATCACAGTACTCCAAGAACAATCTCCGGAGAAACAAACCCGCCGATTCCGATCTCCGTGTATGGGAGAGAGAGAGAGGTTTCGTTATTTTGTTCAAGGTGTTGAGCCCAAGCGAGAAAAAGAGGGCAATGAGAAGAAAAAGGAAGCGGCAAACAATAACTAGAAAACATAAAATAAATAGAATATTTTAAATCATTTCCTAAATAAAAATATTTAAATTATTTTACAGAAATTACGAAAAAATATTATATTCGAAAAATGGCGATTGGTGAAGAAGCTAACGGCCGCGGTGGAGGGAAGGGAGAGAAAGCTTTTCGGTACGAGCGCACACGTATACGCTTTAGCAAATCGAATCGTGACACGTGTACGTCGGTTTCAGGATGACGTTTACAAAGAATTGGACTGCTCTCGGTCTCGGGGGACTCGAGGGCATGGAGGTTGAAGTGTTCGAAATGACGGATTTACCCCTCGTTGTTAACCCCTTGTTCTAGATACTAGCTATTTTGGATGACCAAATTGTTTAATTTTATTAGATTTGTTGCATCATTTGTTAGGTTTAATATACTTATGGTATCTATATTATTTTCTATCACAAGTTATTATTCTTTTTTTAAAATTTGTAGTTATATTATTAGATTTGTTGCATCATTTGTTATATTATTAATATTCTCTATCATTTTAATATTTTTATATTATCACTACCGTATCATGTCATTATTATTATATTAAATGTAATTTAAATTAAATGTGTAAAATAAAAATTTCATATTGAGAGTAATAATAATCTAAAATATTAATAGAAAACGGTATTATCTCTATTTATTAACATAAATGATCATTTTAAAAAAACTATAATATTGAGAGTCATTTTTTGTGACAACATACCGAATAGACAGATAGAGGTTGGATTCATTGAAGGTTAAATGTCCAACTAGATTAATAAAAAAATAAAGTTTATTAGGGGTGATTACGTTACAGGAAACATATATTCGCTGATAATATATCATTCTAATATAATAATCGTAGAATCTTATGTGGTCTATTTAATTTTTTTATAGTTTTACGATAATACACACACATATAGATACATATGTATATGTTATTTCTTAGTTTTTTTTTGCCTTTCAAGTTAATATGTCACCAAAAAAATATTTTTCTAGATACATAATACATTAGTGATGGCACGTACGTATATATTATGCAAATTGCCGTGAACAAACACTTTAAGCAGCACTTACGAGAAAACTATATTTTTTATTTGGGTAAATAAGAGAAAACTATATTATTAAAACTATATTATAATATTTTATATGATTTGCCAAATATTGGTGGAGGATAAACCAAAAATTTCAGCCATACTTAGTGATCCTATGGAAGGTACAAAATGCATGCTGCACGACAATTTATAAATTTTTAAAAAAATTGCAATTGGGTTATTGGGTATATATATTATAGGATCATATATTATTATTAGAATATTATCATTGATTATGATTTACCTTAGATATTATGTCTAGAATATTCTATTGTATTTTGCTATATATTATTATGTATTTTTTTTATTATCAATAATAAAAAAACATTTTCCCTATGATATCAGAGTTTCGGTTTTCGTTTTAGATTTTTTTTTCTCATCAACAATGGTGGTTGAATCCCAAAACGACGATGAAGATGATGATATATACTAAATCCAATAGTATTATCATCTTGAATATCGTCTTCCATTCATTTTGCTCTTTTTTTAAAAAAAAAATTTCCGACGACAGTGTTTATCACTGTCAACTCTAGCCAATGTGCTAATCTTTTTTTTCAGACGACGTTCGTTTATCGATGTCAACTCTAATCGTTGTGAGATCTTTACATATGGCATTTACCCCTTTCGATTAGAAAACTCCGATCGCCGATCCACTATCACGCATATATACAACGTATATATCTTGCGTTTACCGATTTTTTCTATCTTGCGCCCCTGCTACACTATCACGCATTATGCGTCGCGCTTTTGCACCCATTTTTTTTTATCTTTTCTCCGGCCTAGCCACTATATACACCGCAGTTTTTTGCGCTGCCGACTTAATTGTCGTGCAACCCAATTCACGCGTATGTGTCGCACTTTCGTACCACATCAACCTCTGAGGATACAACTCTCAAGCTCTTCAAACGTTATCAAGCAACACCGACTCAAGTCTGAACTACACCACCACATGGAAGATGATTCGTTTAATATGATCAGAGTTTCAGTTTTTAGTTTTTATTTAACAAAATTGAATTCATCATAGATGATTCATCTTGAGGGGCATATAGAAAGATATTATTATTAGAATATTATCATTGATATGATTATGATTTACCCTAGATATTATGCCTAGAATATTATATTATATTTTGCTATATATTATGATGTATTCTTCTTATTATCAAAAATAGAAAAACTTTTTCCCTATTATATATTCTCTAAGATCAAAGATGTTCCTTTCTTATCACTCTCTACATTTTTTTTTTTCGAATAAGATTATATTCTTCTAAAATTTTAGTATAAATCTATTCATATTTTTCCTAATTACCTTTTGAGTAAAGTTAAATCTATTAAACAATTATTTCAAAATTTTAAAAAGTAACAAAAAGAGAAAACAAATTATCTAAAAAATATTGGAAAAAGACTTAACAGTTGTTTCTCTCCCTACCATTTATGTGATTTGGAGGATTTGTTATTCAATCTAAAATAGTGATTAAAGTAGTACATATTTGTAATTTAGGTTCGAGCCTTTATTTGGAAAAAAAATTCATATGGATTTCTTCGATTATTTAGAAGATATAGTTAAGGCGAAAGGTTTGGTTAATTTTCGGATTATAAAAAAAAGAAATCGAATATATGGGAAGTGATGCAAAACAATAAATATATATCCATTTTGATATAAATCAATATAACGGTTGAAAACCTTGTTCGCCTTTTTGGATGGGTCGACAGTATACTGTTCGAAAACTAGTTGTTTGCCCGATCTAAATCATCATCGTGAATTTGTTATTTTTGAATTTAATTATGTTTAGTTTTGTTTTTTTTTTCAAAATGTTTAGTTGATCTTTAATAAGGTGAAAACATTCAATTGTAATTTAGTTCGTTTAATCCGTGAGACAAACTAATCAAATTGTAAATTCTATACAAATATATATATATATATATACACACATCTTTAGAGACTCACAATACTTTTTTAAATTATTAAAGATAATAAGAAAATAGTATTTGTAAATTAAATATTAGTATATTCTAAATAAATAGACATATATTGTAATTTATATATAGTCAATTCGAATTTAATTGTTACGATCAAAACATGCATTCAAAGTAAAATTTTAGAAACATTTCGATTTCACACAAAATTTATTTTAAAAAAATGGTACACATTCACGGGAATCTTTAAAACTAAAAACTACTTGTTGCCAACCTTGAAAATAAGGAGGAAATAGAAAGTGTTTTTTTTTTAATGAAATAAACATGGAATTATTTGTGGCATAAGAGCTATCATATGATCCATAAAATTTTAATATCATTATACAGAATTATTGTTATAGAAAAAAATCAATAGCCAGAAATATTAATGTTTTGAGATTAATTTTATGTATGAAACATCCATTTTCTTACGAAGATATTTTTTCTATATATCGTATTTACATTTTTTAATTAATTTTTAAGTTCAGATTCACTGGTTCGTCGTAATAACACCGAACAAAAAGAAGAAGGATCAAATCAAACTGCATGTGACTAATTTCCGAGAGATCACGTATGACTTTTTTTTTTCTTTTTGTATCAACGACGTCGTTTTCTTTCCTCCGCTGTAAATAGATTTTGAACACAAGCAGCGCGTGACTCCACTCGCTTGTTCCTCGTGAACTTTTTTCCCAAACTTCTTGTAAATTCCTATTTTACCCTTTTGCAAATGGTAAATTTTTATGGTCTCTTATATCCGTTTTAGGGGTATTCATGTCAATGTATGTCATCACATGATTATATTTCCAACACCTAAAAAGGGATATATCTGAAGTACCCTTTGACTGCTTTACGGACTTCTGTCAATACCTTCCAAAATCAAAATTAAAAAAAAAGAGTCTTACACAGTTTAAAAGACATTCAAACCCTTATAAAAATCCAAAAAGACGAAAAAACCTTTTTTTCAATTTAAAAAATTAAAAAAACAAAAAGATAATTATTTCTCTACTCACGATACATCTCTCTTCTACCTCTGAAAATCTTTCTCTCTCCTACCTCTCTGAAAATCTTTCTCTCTCCTACCTCTTGCTATATGTTCTTTCGCTCTCTTTCGAAATCATTGAATCTTTACCCAAAATTTGAAAAAGTCGAATCTCTCACTATCTATTAAACTCTTCTGTGATTCAAATAAGAAATGAAGTCACAAACGAAAAAAAAAGACTCATACTCAGCCTAATACTCATTTTCATCGATATCTTTGAAGAGATTGAGAACCGAATACAAATTAATGAGTTAAACGATCATCGGGTAGGTTACTTCTTTTTTTTCTCAGGTTTGTTAGATTTTGAAATTTTTTTATGTTGACTTTAAGTGTTGGCATGAGGATTTTACGGATAGAAATTTAGGGTTATGTTTATGAATTTTTTTGGATTTCAAAATAAAATATTGGGATTGAAGTCAAATAATCGATTGTGATGTGAAATGGTTAAAATCGGATTGATTTGAATCACATGGATGTATGAGGCGATATTTGAATGATGAATAATATGTTAATTTGGATCTCACTCATATAGGTGATAGAGTTTGATATAATTTATGTTACATAATTGTATGGTCACAAGGTGAAAAAAACCACATGCCAAATGTTGATTTAAGTTACGTGGTAACAGGTTACAGAGTGATTTAGGTGGCATCGTCACAGGCCACATGATCAGTTTAGTCACATGGTCACAGGTTACAGGTGACATGGTCACAAGTGACATAGTCACAAGTCACAAGTGACATGGTTACAGTTCACAGGATAGTAGGTCATATGGTCACGAGTGACTTGGTTACATGGTCTCAGGCCACTTGGTCACGAGTTTCATGGTGACTTGTTAACATATGGTCATATGGTACTATGTTAAATTGGTCACATGGTACCAT